AATAATGAGTGAATGCCGAGCATAGAAACTTTCCTAAAAAACTCGCCGAGTATTTTATTCAGATAATTATAGTGATGAAGTCCAACCGTTCAGCGTATTTTGCGTCTTCTCGATGACGACGCCATTTGATGCGAATGAAGAAATAAAGAGATGGCAAAAACAGTTCCTTAAAACTAACGATTTCTTTCGAGAACTAGTGCGACAAGGTCACAACAATGGCAAACTTGTTTTTTCGTCTACACTTCTTCTGCACTTTTTTTTCAATTGTGACCCTTGATAAAATTTGATTTGTTAAATCACTATTATTCAAGACCTAACCATGATGTCCTTCTGAACAGAGAAGCTGCTTGTTGATTTAGGCCTGGTTACTGAGCTGAAGATAGAGCCAGGAGTTTCTTTTGCATATCATGTAGGAGAAAAATGGAATAATAGATATTTCATGCCATCAATTGCGCTAGCAAAAATTGAAAGCTGAAAACAGCTACTTTTTTTGTATTTGGCTGAGTCATTATTGTTCGCAGTGAAAAGTGATGAAGGAACTAAATGAAAAACGAATAACTACTTATTTACAAAAACGATGTGAAAAGGTAAATTGTGTTGATAACCGGAATAAGTCCGGCCACTCATCAGGAAATAACCGGGAAGTAAGAATAAATGAAAGTTTTGTCATATGTCAGTGATATGTCAAATGCCACGGCCATGAATTGATAATAAAATCATGCATGCGGTACTTTTTGCGATTCGGCATGACATCCGTGACTAGTTCAATCATCAGCAACATCAGTTCATTGTTATTCCAACTGTATGCCGAAAAAGAGAAGAACGGAGGAGCAACAACTAACAACCCCGGCAACGATACAAATTACTCGTATATCGTTATAATTGTTTGTCGTAGAGTCAAGTAAGACAAATTCAATAATGAAAAGCATATCCATAATCATTGACGGCAAAGGAGAACTGCAAATGAATATCTGGTATTCCATTGAATATTCCGAGAAAATGGAACTGTAAAGAAATCACAGAACAAAACTTTACATCAGCTAAGACTGCCGTATAAACTCGAACCCACGTGCCAATATCTGCAACAATATGCAGCAATATTTCCAGAAAAGTATGTACTAAAACGCTCCTTATATTATCATTATCCGTTTTTTTTCGACCAAACCGGCTACATTTTCTCATTTCTGCAGAATTTCAGATGATCAAAAGGAAGTGCCGTGAATTTTTTTGTCTCTACATTAGAGAAAATTGACGATGAAGTACGATGAAGTCCTCTTATATCGCTTGACACGGATGCAAGAAATTTGATAATGGTTTATTGATGACAGTAATAAATTTGATAATCGTAGATTATTACCGAATATAGGAAATACATAAATGGTTGGGTTTCTTATTGGCGTGGAGAAATTGTACTAATTAATGGACTAGAATTTTCGCCCGGTATATGGAAATACCCAAAGAGGGAACATATTGGTACGGGTAAAGACGGCGAAGTAGGAAGCGCTCAGACAGAGGCACCAGAGGCACCATGTGGGAAACTTTTCAATCGAGCAATAAATCTGTTGTACACCCTTTCGAAATTAATGATGAAATCCTCTTGATATTAATGACGAAGCAAATACACGCAGGAATCCAGCTAAACTATCAGGAGATCGACAAACCGAAAGATTCTATAGCACTACGTACTAGAAGTGTCATAAGACAACTCCTCAAATTCCTCCTCCAGAAATATAATTTCCTTTCATCGGGAGTGTTGGAAAACCCGAGAAAATCTACAATATGTTGAAATAAATGGATGAAAACAATAACGTACAATATTCCTATGGATGGTTAGACGTCAAATGTCAATCTACAACTGCAGGGAGAAATATTATTGGTGGAAGATCAGTATCAGATCTAGGTAGTGCCGAGTACTGTACTACACAAACAGGAAAATGCATAACTAGTATAATATTGTTCCATGGAATGAGAAGGAAGCAACCAAAGATGCTTACATAGAATGATTGAGATTTTTGATACTCAGAATATAAGCAAATCATACTGTTATTAATAAGCTCACTTGTTTTTAACAGGGAAAATGAAACAATTACAACAAATCATAAATTTGTTAAATTACATCCGATGATGACAATATTATTATAATTGATATGGAGATCGTCGAAAATTCGATAAAAATTCGTAATCAAAAAGATACTTAAGGCCAGGTAGTTATGATCGAATTAAATCCTAAGAAAAGAGCCGATTCAGGAATTGTGAAATTCCAGCATATTTTTGATAATCTACAATGAAAATTCAAGCACCAACTCAACGTAATACCGATACCGAAATAATTTATTATTGATTGGATCGTTGTCAGTGATAATCTAATTTTTAACAGTAAAATTTTTATTACAATGAGATGACGTAATTGCAAAGGGAGTCGAAGGAAAGATATGAATCGCTCGGTATTAATCTAAAAAACTCGATTCGAGAATTGTCGAGTTTAATCGAGATTGAAAGAATCAATTCAAAACTGGATATAATGACTCGAAGGCAAGAAACGATCAATCTGGAAAATGAATTTCCCTGGGAAGAAATAAGACAATAATGAGAATTAACGGAGATGTTGGAAAATGGACTTGACAAAGCTACAGAGTTAATACATGAACAATCAACAGAATACACTGGGAATTGATCGATATTTTTGTGTTTTTATAGTGGCTATTATATTAATCGCAGTCAAAATGAAATTTGATTTAATTCGATATGTAACTCATATTACCAAGGATTGAATGTGAAAAATTCAAAGCTTGAAATTATTCATTTCAGTCAAACGCTGTTTGTTCTTGTGCGGAGTTCCAAAATTTTCATGAAAAATTTGTGAAATTTATCATTTAATGAGGGTGAAATCTACAATAAATGAAATCGGTTGCAAAGGTAAATAATTAAAAACAATTTAAAGCTAATGTGCTCATCATAATGGTAATTATCAAATGCACTTCATTAAATACCTAAACAAATTAATTTCTCAGCTCAAGAAAATTTTCCGATCCTGATCCTGTGAAAGATTTTGTTATCGTTGATTGGGAAAATGGCTTTTTCAGTTGCGCAGTTTTTTTTCAAATTCACGTCGCATCTGATACGTGACGTTTCAGATTCACCATTATAATGTTTGGCTTCTTTGCAGTGCTGGCCATTTCACTTGAACTTACACTACTTGACTGTATTCTTGTGAAGATTCCGCATCAGTTCATCACTCGTTCAATATTTGTCACCATTATCATTCCTTTGATGTCTTCGCATCTTGCCTGCATCATTTCTTCGCGCAGTGCATGCATTTGGTCGAATCTAACCTTAAAGCATAACTGGCTCTCGTTTTTTGAACAAGTTGCTGTGATCTTTATAGATTCCTATTTCTTCTGAAGTGCCGAAAAGTGAAACATCCCGATACTACGGATTAAAAGGGCTAATTAATGCTTTGATATACAAAACAAAAGTAAAATGGTCGACTAACAGTTTAGATGGGGATTATACAGAAACAATTTGAGTCATTTACAGTTCTTGGCCAATTCGTATGATTAAAGCTGTGAAATTACCACTCTCATTACCATCGTGTTTGCAAAATTATCTCACCATCTAATAGCTGAATGTAAAGCAACATGTCGGTATATTTGGGCTTTGACTCCTGCATTAACATATGGGAATTACTAATTAAAGTGTAACTAAATCAGCTAGTATATGAAAGGCGGAGGTTGATTTGCTGCAGTAGATTTCAGGAATTTGACCGTTTGATTTCACGAATTCGAGAGACCGAAGCAGTTTGAAATCAGGCTTTTGCTCTCAGGAGAGAGATTTAAGTTATATATTCTGCAACTGTTTGTGAGCGTTCATTCGCATCCACTTGAGTCTTTCTCCCCGATGAAGGTACACATATGATGCGAAAGAAATAAGGAAGTTGGAAAAACTAATTTTTAAAGAAAAAATTAATTCTTTCAATAATATTTTTCAATTTTTTAAACTTTTTTAAAATTTTTTAAAAATCTTTTTCCTAATTTTTTTTAAAGAAAAGTACAAAAAGTAACAATTACGGTAAACTTATCCTTTCATCTTTACGTCCAATTTTGTGCTGCCAAATTTTTGTTAAATGATTTCTAGCTAAGCCGCTATCTTCTATACTTAACAAACGATTTTGTGAGGACTATACTTGATGCAACTGCCCTATAGACTTCTAAGTTGAAACTACAAAATCTTAAACGCTTCTTCATAACCATTATTGCGAACAGTTGCAAATACCGTGGTATTAACAGCTGGAGGCATAAAATATAGGATTGACACACATAGTTGACCTCTTTAGAATTAAAATTCCAAAACTTGGCAGTATTCAAAATACTGGAATATCAGGCCACCATTGGTTGAAGGTTTAACTGCGAAGTCATCAGAATAAGCAAAACTGCTTGTTAAGAGGGATGGAACCAAAAGAAAAAATCATACATATTCCCTGATTAAAGTTCAACAAATTAGTGATTGTTGTAGTGGTTAAAACTTTCTGTGTGTTCCCTATCCCAATTATCGTTCAATTCAAGTGGATTTTTTCGTTTTTGTATCAGTTTCGTTTTTCTGCAAGCAGGCACTTTTACATCCAGTTCATTCTTCTTATCTTCCGTCAACGACTCATTTTTTAACTTATTGATTGAACCATTTATTAAATCAATTTTAATTGAAGAAAATGGCATTTCGGAATGATGAACATTACCGAATCGTATCAGTCAACAGTAACATTTGGCTGTATAAAGAAAATAAAAAAAACAACTATGTATGTGATTTGCACATAGTTCCAAACTTTTGTTCTGCTTTTAACACGTGCTGTCCTACAATTTAGCCTTTTTAGTGCGAAGTCTTAAGGAATTCAAAAGATAGGAATCTAGAATTATTATTCTTCAAAAAAATTGCTACTTTTTAATTCCTTATTTATCACAGTATTTCAACAATTCAATGACTGATTGATATCGAAATTAGCCAATTCATTTATTTTCGACTTTTTTTTTATCGATCAGTATAGGCACTACAAACTATGACGGAGCCGTGGATGACTTTGATGTACATAACTTCTGTTGCATAGACTTTCGATATATTTTTAACATTGATTCAAATCGCAATCATATTTAATAGCTTGATATGAAACAAACGCCAAACAACGCTTTGCACAATTTTCAAAACTTAAAGTTAATACAGTGATACAATGGCATTTGGAGGAAATGAAACAATTATTTCCAATAAAAGGGCGATAACCGTGATATGGATAATAAAAACTATCTGGAGAAAAATATGGGAAGCCTCCAGTGACCTCAAAAGCACATTTGACCACGCCTTCGAAATAATCTAAAAAGAACTCCAGGTGCGTGCAACTCTGCGCGAAAAGAAGCTTGAGGGAATTGATTAAGTCGATTTGTTTTTCGACCATCTCCACCGACACCGAATCTCCGTATTGCATTACCATTGTTGTTCAGTGACTTAAATTTAAAATATGCTTTAACTGGGATTATTGGTGCTTAAATAAATACTAATATTTAATGTGCTATTGAAGTTGTGACACTTAAAGGTATGAAAGCAATACGAGGCATGAAGCTACGTTCCGGTCTGCAAAATTGCGATTGAATGATGCACTGGTTCGGGCAAACTCTTGTGCATCCTCAGTTTTTTTTTTTCTTGATAATGTCATACTGGAAGTGAAAAAAAACATTAACAGGTATGTAAACAGAATGAATGATGTGATAACAACAAACACTTTAACTTATATTACCGTCAGAGCAATCAAACATTTGGTAATAACAAATGACAGCATGATAAGCAATCCAAAATTCCTGCAAATATGATTGCTGGTATACAATTGGTACTATTACATTAAGGATAACGTCTTCGCTGCGCTCTAGTTGATAGAAATATTTGTTGATATCGGAAGATGAATCTGCTCAATTGATGGTTCTGATGTCATGAATGAATTTCAAGCGCTTGATTCTGCCAAGATCACAAATGTCAGCAAGTTATCAGATTAGTTGTTAAACAGAAAAGATATTTAGCTTTTAAAAAATGAATATTGTCATTGAAGTCGAAAAAATGTTGAGTTGTTTTAATTGGAATTCAGAATATTTCTAAGGTAAATTGATTTGTTATACAAAATTAATTAAATCAATTATTCGATACCTAAAATGGAAAATCATTTGTTCAAATTCAGCTCTTCCAATTTTTTAAGCAATTTTAATCGCAACGTTTAGATATTGCGGATAAAGCCTTTTGTGGTAAACTTTTTTCAATCTCAATCAAGTTAATCAAGCTTACACGCAATTGTCGGAATGTTGTGAAGAATTTGTGTGCAAATGTCAAAATTTTCCAAAGAATTTCTAGCCTGGCAGTTAAGTCAATGTGTCTGGAATGTTAAATTACTACCACTATAAAAGGAGCTAAGATCAATCATCCGGGCGATTAGTTACTAAATCCAAAATGTTCGAACAGTTATTAAATCTGACAGTTCCAGCAGTCACTCAGTCTAATGGATCCAACAGCATAGATCATAGTCAAGCACTGAGCCACGCCAATGGTCCAACGGCAGAGAAGTGGCAATACGACAGTTTAATAGCATGAGTGACAAGATTGTTGGCTATTCTTTAATACTTATTGTGTATTGTTCATTTCGTTCCCATTATTGTTTCAGTGCTATATTGTATCGTATCGTTAAGACCAATATATGTTACTATCAACAGTGCGAAATTACAACAAAAATAAATCTACAAAATCCTTCCCTGACAATTTTTTGAGCCAGAAAGGTGACCAACGGTATTAGCAAGCGCTACCTCAGCGAAGGAGATCTGAAGCTGCTCAACAAAGTGCAGGAAAGAGAATGGACACAATTGACCAACACATATCAGATGAAGAAAATGTGAACAGCACGGAAATCATAGGAAGATAATTGTTGACCAAATGAAAAGAACTGAACTATATGTTGGAACGTTCGTGAGTTCAAC